AAGACTTTTTTATGGAATTTAAATTTAAAGAATAAAAAGTATTTAATAATAATTTTTAGTACGACTAGATATGTGATAGTTTTGCTAAAGAAGTATGGTATTTTCTTAAATATAATCAATTAATTTTTATATATATTCTTAAGTTTAAAAATGTATTTGTGAATTTATTTTATTATTAAGGAATGTGTGTTTTTTGTATTTTTTTACATATTGGCTAGAATACAGCTATAGTTAAATATTGAATCAATAATTATAGGAATCTTTGAAGTGGATGTAGATGTAATATACATATTAATTATGATTATTTTAAAATTAAAAAAAAATTGCTTTATTTATTTTATGTGGATTTAACAACCTGTGTTTTTTGTTCGCAAATTATAAAAAATTAAATAAATAATTATAATAATAATAATAATAAAATTAATAAAAAACGGAATTGAATAAAAACAAATAATTATTAAAAATTATAAAAGTGGATTTGTTTTTAAGAAAGGAAATTTAAAAAAAATACTATGTGTGTTCAACATAATAATATTCAAAAATTGTAAATAAAATATAGAACATTTTTTTATTTTTCTGATCATCTATTTTTTTATAATTTTCGGGGCTACGAAAAATTTTTCTATATTTTTTTTTATATTTTTAATGAACATAAAAAATATTTTTTTAAGAAAAAAAAATGTTTTTTATATGCTTGAAATAAAATTTGAAAATAAAAAAAAAACATTAATACAACACATAAATTAAAGAAAATATTTTGTAATATATTAATTTTTAAATTTTTAAGACAAATTTTTGAACCATTTTTTCCTATTTATATTTTAAATGTTCATAAAAATATTTTTTAAGAAAAATAATGCTTTTTATGTCATTGAAATAAAAAAAAAAAAAATAAAAATATCAATAAAACACAGAAATTAAAGAAAATAATTCTTAATATTTATTTTTTTAATTTTTCCGATCATCTATTTTTAATGATCGGGAAATTTAAAAGAAATATTTTAGAAAATATTTCTTTAATCTCTGTAATTTTTTATTTTTTTCCAATGACATTTTTATACCCTCCACCATAGTAAGGAGGATATATTAAGTTTGTCATTCCGTTTGTAACACCTCGAAATATACATTTTAGACCCCACAAAGTATATATATCGACTTAGCGATGTCCTTCCGTCTATCCGTCTGTGGAAATCACTTTAGCTTCCGAACGAAATGAAGTAGATTGATAAAATTTTACTCAAATGTATTTTATGTCTGCAGGACTTGAAAATGGGTCAATGTAGGTCCACGTTTTGGTATAGCCCCCATATAACAGTACCTCCCGATAATCGGTATTTTGATGATTTTAGCTACATTATTCACCGGATTTGTTTCAAATTAGGTATTTGAAGTTCGAAATGGATACTACAGCCTAAGAAAGAAATTGTCTGGGCAGGTTCACGTCTTAGTATAGCCTCCATATAACGGTACCTCCAGATATTCGGTTTTTGATGATTTTAGCTACATTATTCACCGATTTTTTTTAAGTTTCGCATTTGAATATTGTAGTGGCTTATGACAAAAGTTACTTATGCAAGTCCAGACGGTCGTATAGACCCTAATGTAGCAGCTAACAGATTTTAACCGATTTTATTGTTTATTTGAGAATTACCAAATTACGTTCCAAATGGTGGAGGGTATTCAAAGTTCGGCCCGGCCGAACTTACAGCTTTTTCACTTGTTTTTCTTAAAAAAATAAAACCAAACTCTTAAAAAAATATTTTGTATGTCTTTGATATAAAATTAAAAATAAGAAATGACAATACAACACAGAAATTAAAGAAAATATTTTGTAATAAATTTTTTAATTTTTTTCGAACTTTTTTAGAATTTTCGGTGTTACAAAACAAAATAATTGGACCATTTTTTTATTATATTTTTAATGCACACCCAAATATTTTTTAAGAAAAAAAGCTTTTCATGCCAGTGAATGAAAAAAATGAAGTAATATAAAAAAATTCCAAATAAGAAATTATTAAAAATATTGTTTTAAATTTAAGCAAAAAAGTTTATAAAAAACATTTATTATTTATCTTTAATATTTTTAATTTTTTGTAAAATATTTTTTCAAATCAATGCAAAATACAATTTCCCTTTTCGCTGTACATATAAACTGTAGCTTTTCTATTTTTCAAGTTTTTGTTATATTTTCAATGCACATTAAAAAATTTTTTTAAGAAAAAAATAAAAAAAAATATCAATGAAATAAAATAAAATCATATTAAAAAATATCTTCCAAATAAACAATTATTAAAAATATTTTTTTTGAAATTGAACCAGAAAACAAGTTTAGGAAAATTTTTTATTATTTAACTTCAGTATTTTCCATGTTTTGTAAAGTATTTGTTTTTTTTGAAATCAAGGCAAAATACAATTTATATAAAAAATATTTATTTTTTTTAATTTCAATATTCTTCTTTTTCTGTTTCACTGTACTTAATAACTGTAGTTTTTTTTCCTATTTTTCAAAAATCTTTGGTTGTTTGTCTATTTATTTATTTTTTAATATAAGTACTATTGTTTATTTCTATTTAATTTTTATGTGGCTAATGCTGTTTTTCTCTCTATACTGAATGGTATTAATTATTATTGTTAGTTTTAATTGTTTTTTTGTGCACTGGAATATTTTCAATTCAGAAATTTATTTTTTATATTTTTGAGCTTAAAAAAGTGATTTGGAATTAATCGATAAATTTTATGTCAAGAAAATTGTTCTTAATATTATCACAGAAACAAAATGAAAAAATATTTTTAAAGTTTAAAAGATATTTTTTAATAGTTTATAGATATGTTTTATTTACAAATTTCTTATGGGCAGAGGTTTCTAGTATGTGAAGATTTCGATTGTATTTAAGATGGAGTCAATATGCAGATATGTTAATTTATTAAATTTTTTTGTTATAGATTTTTTTGCAAAAGGCAATGGATTTTGAATATTTACAATGAATATTTACAAGGGTAGTTATTGTATGGGTTATTAGATATTTGCAGAACAGAATCACTTTTATTAGCTGGGTAACATCTAGTTGTCAATTTTTGAATTAAATCAATTTAATACCGTTATCCCTGAAAGTATGCATTATGCACAACAGTAATGGAAAATTACCATATAATAACACATGAAATATAGGTGGCATTCCTTTTTAACAAATTTCTTCATTTATATATTTGTCATTCTACTAAAAATATTTAGAATCTGATAAAAAGAATTTCCACGTGCCCAGGAAAAAATATATAAATATAAATATTTACATGGGACAGATATAATTATGAATTATTTGCAGGACAAAACCACTTTTATAAGCTTGGTGACATCTAGTTGTCATTTTTTTTAATTAAATCGATTTAATACCATTATCGCCCAAAGTATGCATCGTGCACTAACGAGAAGACATAGGTGGCGTTCATTTCAACAAATTGTACATTAATACGTTTTTATTTGAAAGGTTAAAAATCTTTTAGAAGAACTTTAGAAAATCCATCAATACCATATCGGTACAAATTGAAATGTAGATGGCCAATGTATATTTTTTTGAAATCTCTCATGTCAAATTGAACAGTTATGATAGCGATGATTAGTTATTTCCACTTTTACGGGATGGGTGACCTCTAGTTGTCAAACTATTAATTAATAAATGTATACCATTCTCCTCTAAAACACATTACTAAGAGATGAAATATAGATGGCGTTCGCTTCAACAAATAGTTGGTATATTAAAAATTTATAAATTTTAATATTTTTTTATTCTAAATATTTTAGAAATCCAAAGTTGTCAATGTTGAGCGCTACTTCAACGTGGGTGACCCCGAAACTTTGTTGTCACATACACAACATATTTTAAGGTTCAGCGCCAGCTTCTCGTGAAATATTCGAACTTGACAGTCGATATCTATGGAATTTAGATGGGAAATATTTCCGTAGAAGTAGAAGTACAAATATTTAGAAGTACAAGGTAGTACATAATTGCCAACATTTAAGTATGGAGGATTTTATCATATAATTCTGAAGTTTAATAAATTTACCGTTGGCCGCCACTTTTATGGAAAATATTTGGACTTCACATCCAATATCTAAGAAATTTAAATTAGAAATATTTTGGTTCTCTTGCTGACTACGTAGCATTCTAGACACATAAAATCCAAATCAATAAACTTTAGGTGCCATCTTTTTGTGAAATATTCGAATTTTACAACCGATATCTAGGGAAAGCAGTTGGGGAATATTATTGTACACTGCAACTATATAGACCATCTCTGGCACTGTAGCGATACAACGTAGTACATATTTTGCGCCACTTTGATACGAAAGATTTTCAACTTTGCTACCAAATAATTGCGAATTATAATATATATCTCGTTGGGCGCCACCCATATGTGAAATATTTTAAATCTAATAAATTTGAATAAAGAATATGTTAATGCTTCTACTTTTTTATTTTGGAATATACTTTTAATTTAGAATATATTTTTATATTTCACGACGAAACATGTTCAATTCTAGGAACTTTTGAAAACCAAAGTTATACTTTTTTGATTTTCGACCAATTTAATTATTTATTACTGGTTTTTATCGGGCTTTTTTGGTCGGATTATTTTAAAATGAAAATAAAATTTTTTTTCATTTTTTGCTCGACGTTTCGTTGGCTTTTTTCCAACATTATCAAGCACTTATTTATTTTAATGTTGGGCGCCACCTTCTTGTAAAACTCTAACTTTAGAATATATTTCTGCTCAATGCATATTTAGATTCAAATGCAATTGGGATTTTATATTTTAAGAAGAAAAAGCCCACAATAAACAATAATTTACCCTGGAATCTATTGAAAATCTTTAAATTTTAATTAGAATTAAAATGTCATTATTTGCAAAACGAAATAAATACCTTCCTTTATATTCTCGATTATCCAATTAAATGTATTATGTGCGTTGGGCACTACATTAACTGAGAAGCTGTAAAAAGGATTTTTTTCATTTGATACTCAGATATAGTTTGGAAAATTCGAATATTTCACATGAAGGTGGCGCCCAACATGTATTTCTAAAATGTGGTATGTTCGGTCGTGTAACGTGAAAATGCTATTTGTATTCAAACATTTCTCAGATCTTGGCTATAAAGTTCAAATATTTTACATGAAGATGGCGCCCAACTTTAAATTCTCCATATATAAATGGCGCCAATTATTTACTTAGCTGTACTTTTGGAGTCTTAGAAAATCATCTACAAAGTTCGTGCAAAGAACTGTGCTGCCACATAGTTTAAAAGTTGAATATATTTAAAGTTGGGCGCCATCTTTCGTGTGAAATTGTTGAACTTCACAGGCGAGGAACATTTTGATACCCTTTTTCTATATTTTTATACCCTCCACCTTGGAAAGGAGGCTATATTAACTTTGTCATTCCGTTTGTAACATCCGTAAATATTCGTCTTAGATCCCATAAAGTATATATATTCATAATCACCATCAAATTCTAAGTCGATTTAACGATGTCCGTCTGTCTGTTGAAATCACGATACAGCCCACATTATTTGACCTAGAGCGCCAAAATTTAGCAGAGCTATTTGCATAGTGTCTAGGATGGTTGGTAATGAAAATGAGATATATCGGTCCACGCTTTGGTATAGTCCCCATATAACGGTACCTCCCGATATTCGGTATTTTGATGATTTATGCTACATTTTTCCACGGATTTGTCTGGAAATTGGTATTTGTAGGTCATAACGGGACCCTGAGCTTGTGGCAAAACATTGCATGTATAGGTCCACGTTGTGGTATAGCCCCTATATAAAGGTACCTCCCGATATTCGGTAATTTGATGATTTTTGCAACCTTTTTTCACGGATTTGTCTGAAAATTGGTATTTGTTGGTCATAATGGGTTCCAGCTGCGGTGGCGAAACATTGCATGTATGGGTCCATGATTTGATATAGCCCCCATATAACGGTACCTCCCGATATTCGGCATTTTAATGGTTTTTGCCACATTTCTTCTAATGTTTCTTTTACCCTAAGGTGGAGGGTATTAAAAGTTTGGACCGGCCGAACTTAATGTTTTTTACTTGTTTTTAATACAATTTGCATTTTTATGAAGATGGTGATGAAGTACAACATACTACATAAATATGAAAGATCTTGACGTATAATTCCAAACTTTAATATTTTTTAAGTTTGGCGCCATCTTCATGTGAAATATTGCAACTTCACAATCGAGATCTATGAAATGAGGAATATTATAATACTCAGAATAAATATATATTCTGTTTCTGAATAGGTAGATAGATTTGTTTTATATTTCATGACTTATTCTAGACAATTTTGGAAATAAATTAAATTTTGGAATAAATAAATTAAGGGCGCCACCTACTTGGAAAATATTCTGATTTTCGAACCGATATGTAAATATCAAATGCTAAAAAGACTTTATTTATAAGCTCTTTATAAGCTAAGCTATGGACAAAATGATTTTAATGTGGAAGGACTCGAACTTTACTGTTGAATATTCCAGAAGTTGAATACATTGAGAGTTGGGCGCCACCGTCACGTGAAAAATTCGAATTTCGTAATTGATATTTATGAAATAAAGGTGGGGAATACTTTTTTAAGTTCTCTCAGCTCAGAAATACATTGGAATTCAATTTGGAAATATTGGATTCGTTTTTGGTCAAAAGATTTAGATTCATTGTAGCCACATTATTCTTAATTTGAAGATGTACCGAAAATTTGAATCAGAAAATAGGGGATAAAAAATATACATGTCCTTGACAATCGGTTGGTTTAATATAAATATTATTTCCAATTTCTTAGGTTGTCTTGATAATGTTTCTGCAATGTTTAAAGATCTTCGAACATATACCCATTGCCTTTTGCAAACAGTTATGTTTTTTTCAGATAAGTTCATGGAAGATATGATAGTCTATAATTTGGCAAAGAAATATATATTTTAATTTATGCTATGGAATGCCTTTATTATATACTAAATTAATTATCATTTTCTCACTCTCTTCGGATAAGAATATAGAAAAACTGATTTGATAGAAGAGATGTAAAGAAACCTAATTTTCTTATTTGATATTTCCCGCTCTTTCTCTCTCTCTCTCTCTCTCTCTCTCTCTCTCTCACTTTTGAAGAATTTATACAGGAGATTTACTTGCTCACCGCTCTTTTTACTTTTCTCAGCTAACTGATTGCAATCATAAGTAGACGTTTTTCGCCTCTCTTTCTCTCTCTTTTCTTCCCTCCTCTCTTTATCTTATTGATTCAACAGGGTATTGGTTACCTCGGAAAACGACAACAATGGACTGCCATCGATATTTTGTTCCAAACCACTCAAAGTGGCTGTGGCTGCACACGATGTAGCTCCCCCAGGTCCGGTGCCAATAACATAGGCATTTGTGGCATATGCCAGGGCGGCCGAAGCCGAAGGATGATGCATTACAGCTGTTGTAGTGGGATTTCTTGATTTATATGCCGAAGGATAAAGGCTACCACTGCCACCCAATGATTGCAACGCCACCCCACCCTGACCACCCAATTCCGTGGGATTATCCAATGTGGTGGATGTTATGACAATCGGTGATGCTATAATTGCCAATTGATGATAGGGAGTATGGGCCGCTGTGGTCATTGTCACTCCTGGTGATCCATTGTGATTGCTGATGATACTCGCCGGTCCATGGCCACCGTTTAGGCCGTTGATAACACTGCTTATGGCTGGCAGTTGTTGCAAAGGTGGTGAGCTACAGGAGGGTGATGAACTGGCCGAAGCAGCTGCCACTACCGCCGCCGATGCCGCAGCACTTGTTATAATGGCATTGCCACAAGTTCCTGTTCCCGCTAGGCTGGCTAACGGTTGTATATGATGGTTATATGGACTGAGTTGTAATACTTGTTGTTGTTGTTGATGTTGTGGTTGTTGTTGTGACTGTTGGCTGAGCATGATCTGTATATCGATTTGTTGATGTGTTTTTGAGGTTTCGTTTCGTTTTGGTGGGTGCGGGGAAACATTAAAAGATTTGGGGGGAAAAAAGAGATAAATATGTTAGTGTTGTTGTTATTTTTATTGAATGTTTTCGGTTTTTTTGTTAAATGTATAACTTATTAATTAAGGTGCTTTGTGCATAGAAATAAATTAAAGAAAATTTATAACAAAACTATTCGGATTTGTAGGAAATTCGCAGATCAAATGAATGTGGAATTCAGCTATAGAACTCGGGGAACAACTTTGGTTTAGTAAAAACTGCCGGATTTTTGTTGACAAGAGTTAGGTATTTATACCATGATTCCAGCATTCTCGGGGGACGGACTCGGATACAAACATTTCACACAAAATTTCGGATACCGAACCCGGCTTAGATCCGCATATGAAATGTAATGAAATACCTTTCCAAAATGCTAATCATAGCAAAATGAAGTAACTGAACTGCGATGCTTCAGTTTGAACCTGAATTTCTCTGTAAGTGTATCCAAAATAAATTACGTGAAATAAATGGCGCCCAAGCAGGATCTAGCTTTTATCTCTTAAATTAAATGTGCATAAGAAGAGAATTAAGTTAACTTTTTTATTGAAAGCGAGAGCTTCGTGGAAAATTTATTAAATTTTGCAAATGCAATGGCGCCCAATGTGGGGTTCCTAGAGAATGTCAAAGACAACTTATTTTCTTTTAACCTCTTTCTCAATTTGCAATACCTCGACAAAAGAGAAAAATCAAGAGCTTGTTTGCAAGTCTATCTGAATTCTTCAGCTTCTCTGAGGACACCTCCTAGCCTTCTGTTCATCTAAGAGACTACCAGTTTGTCAAAGAATATTTCTCGCCCCAAGACGAACACAAAATTAATATACCCTTCATAAAATGGTGGAGGGTATAAAAAGTACCCGTTTGTCGCCACTTTTTCTCTGAAACTATTGGTAAAACTTCAAATTTTTAATAGGTCCACAATCTTTATACCCTACACCACAAGGTGGTCAGGGTATTATGTCTTTGTGCATTTGTTTGTAACAGGCAAAAGGAAACGAGATAGACGCATAGTTCCTTTTGATGATCTGCATAGAATCACATTCTGAGTCGATTTATGCATGTCCGTCCGTCAGTCTGACCGTCTGTCCATGTATTCTTGTAAACAAAGCACAGTTCGCATTTATTGTTCTATCCAGATGAAATTTTGCACAAATCATTTGCTTAGCCCAAGGACGAACCCTATTGAAATTGGAGATAATCGGTCAAAATTTAGATATAGCTCCCATATATATCTTCGTCCGATTTGCCTTTTATTGTGCACCAAACGTGTAATATCAAGCCGAATGGCATGGAATTTTGCACATACAACCCGATTAGGCCTGAAAATAAGTATACCAAATTTTATCGAAATCGGTTCAGATATAGCTATAGCTCCCATATATACTGTTCATCCGATTTGTTATTTTTGTCCTCCGCAGCTGTAATATGCACTCTGTACCCACAATATTTTGGGAAATATATCAAATACAACTCAGAAATACATTTGCTAAATTTTATCGAGATCGGCTCAGATTTGGATATAGCTCCCATATATAACTTCGTCCGATTTACTTTTTATTGTCCACCAAACGTCTAATATTTGTCCAAATGGGATGGAATTTGGCATTTACGACCGAATTGAGTCTAGAAGTTAGTATGTCAAATTTGGTGAAGATCGGTTCAGATATAGCTATTCTCCCATTCATCCGATTTGTCATATTTGTTACCCACAGCCGTAATATGCACTCCGTAACAACGATATTCAGGGAAATATATCAAATACAGCTCAGAAATATCTTTGCCAAAATTTATCGAGATCGGTTCAGATTTGGATATAGCTCCCATATATATGTTTATCCGATTTCAAATTAATTGTGCACCAAATGGACAATACAACTCCGAATTTAAAAGATACATATGCTTCGGCATATTTAGTCCTTTGAACTTTAAACCATATCGTGTATGATTGAATTCTCCCATAAAATCTTTTTACTAAATTAACAAAATGGTGTAGGGTATCATAAAGTCGGCCCCGCCCGACTTTAAGACTTTTTGTACTGGTTTTTTAATGAAGAAGAGAATCCTGAAACCTGAGATCGCTAAAAATATTCTTGGAGGCAACTTTTTTATGCGGGAAATGAATTGGACAAAACATTATTTCTGTTTTTGATGATACGTTGGGAAAGACTTTGCAGTTTTGTCTAACCTTTTTTTTAACGTTTGAAGAAAGTCTGAATTTAATTATGTGTGTATGAAATGTACAGGTTGGGCGCCACTTTTTCATTGAATCTATTAGAAAGCTTCAAATTCTTTTTTTTGATCCACCAATTTTTACAATGAAAAGGAATTAATCCTGAAATCAATCAAAATATTCTTATGCCAAAAAACACACATTGGGCGCCACTTTCTTATGTATAAATCGAATACTATTATAAAGAGAGAATTGGACAAAAATGATTTTTGTATAACTTATTTTCACGTTTCAAAGTCATCCTAAATGAAAGGTTACTTAAACATTTATGCGTCCTTAAACTCCCCTACGTTGGTCGCCAAAAAGTTCTATTGCACATAAATGGATTTCGGTTTGACGATAAGTTGTGCAATCTCTTGCCATCTAGTCTTACCAATTTTCAAGTTCCAAAGCTATTCCAAATCATTTCTGTGACCCTCAATGTAACTTACAAATTCCTAAACTAGTTTCACAATTGCTTTACGTTGGGCGCCAAAATGTTGAATTGTGCATAAATCAATTTTGCTTTGATGATTAGTTGTGCGATCTCTCTATTTTCAAAGATACAAAGTTTTCCCACACCAAATCTGTGAACACTTGCGAATTTCCAAGCTGGTTTCTCAAATGCCACACGTTAGGCGCCAAAAAGTTGTTGTTGAATTTTAGTTTGATGATAAAAAAATTACAATCTCTTGCCGTCCAGGCTAACCATTCTACTTTCAATTAGGGATACTCAAAGTCATTTGCGAACTCGTTTCACAATTGCTTGCTTTACGTTGGGCGCCAAAAAGTTTTATTGCGCACAAATGAATTTCTGTTTGATGATTAGTTGGGCGATCTCTTGCCAACATGTCTAGCCTATTTTTATGTTCTAAAATCAAACAAAAGCTGAGGCAATCAACGTAGTAAAACTTCCTAAGAGGTCATTCTCACATTTTCAATTTGGTTTGCTGATAAATTGTACAACATTGTATTATATTTCCGAATATATTTTTCTCTAAACTAGTGTTGCCAACTACCAATTACTTATCTATACATAAATAAAGAGAGAGAGAGAGAGAGAGAGAGAAGATTGAACTAATTAGGTACACACCCGTTACTGTTTCTGTTTGAAGTTGGTGTTGGTATTGGTGTCAGGTCAGGTCAGGTCGTACAACAGAACAAAGAATTAATTTTCTACTAGAGAACAACAGAAAGTGGTACAACAACGGAACTACTGAGTGCTGCTACTTATGTGTGGTGGTAGTGGTGCTGGTGGTTGGGTGGCAAGTGCTGATGGTGGTAGAACTGGTGGTGGTGCCGCCGTTGAAATGCTGCTACCGGCTGCGTGCAGTGAATGATGGGCAGCCGAATGTGGATGATGAGAATGGTGGTGGTGGTGGTGCGGATGATAGGAGAAATACTGTGAGGCATATTGGCTGGCATATGATGCTGGACTCCATACCTCACTGCCATTGGTTGCAGCAGCAGTGGTTGGCAGGGTGGCTGCACTATTGCTGGCGGCTGAACCTGCGGCATGGTGGTGATGATGATTAATGGGGTGGGGATGGTGGGAACCATGCGTTGCATGATGATGATGATGGTGGTGGTGATGGGCCGAGTGATGCTGGGCAGGATGATGATGCTGGTCATGGGGTGAAACTGCCGCTGAGCTGTGACTTTGAGAGGGTTGCTGGGAATGCACATGCGTTGTGGCGCCATGATTCGCATGGTGGTGGTGATGATGTAGAGCCGAATGGTGATGATGATGATGCTGTTGGGGGGAGGTGTGATGTAAATGTGTGTGGCTATTGCTTGGGTGTTGGTGCATGGCCGTAGCTGAAGAGGAGACTGAAGAAGATCCAGCCAAAATGCTTGTTTCACTCAATGTTGTTTGTGCGGGTGGTGCAGGTGCATGCGGTGGTGGGGGTGGAGCTTGTGCTCCGGCTGTTGTTGAGGCTACTTTGGAGTGTATTGTGTTGTTGTTGCTGTTGCTGTTGTGATGTGCTGTTGGTGTTGCAGACGAAAGAGTTTCAGCCACCGTATTGTTATGGGCCAGCGTTGAGCCACCGCTTGCTGTTCCACCCGAACTACTCCCACTGCTGCTCAAACGATGCTGCGGCGATGTTGTGTGCGATGATGCCGAATAGAGTCCTGAATCGTCATGATGCATTTGATAGCTATCCGGAGTGGAAGCACTTTTATGATTATCCTTGCCATTCCATTTGGCAGAAGTCTCTGTGTCATTGGCATAGCTGAGACCATTCGAGAGCGGTGTTGTTTGGGGAGAACGTTCCGTGTTGCTGGACAAATGACGATTTGCAGTAGAGGTTGTTGTGGAAGCATTGAGGGTATTGATGGGTATGCCACTGGACTGTGAACCCCACATGAGGACAGTTTGTCGTTCATATTGATCCTGGGAGGCCATTTCAACTTTGGGTGTAATAACAGCCGGGCCGGCATTGGCCGTTGAGCCGCCATGGGGATTATTGAGATTATTGACAATGCTACCGGCCACCGGGGAGGGACCATTCGAAGAACAGGAGACCACCTCCATGACATGGGGAGAAGACTTTGGCGTTTTCAAAGGAACTTGCTGAAAGAATGGGAGAAAGTAAAATTTAAATATTCCTCCTCCATTTGGTTAAAGATTGACTCCTTACCTGTGGCGTCGATGTGGGACTACCATAACCACTGCTATAGCCACTGTAGTATTTCCCAGTTTCCTGCCATTTTTCCTCCTTGGAGGTTATGGCATAACCATCATAGGAAAGGAAACCATTGGCAGCCACATAGGCCGAAGCTGGCGCAGCCGAATGATGATAGTCGGCATAGTACCCTCCCACACCCTGCAAACGATACTGATGGAAGAGATTCTCAGTGACAGGATAGAAATTTGTGGAATGCACTGAGGTGCCCATATAAATATTATCTGCCGCTGTGGCATATGGCGAGGTCGTATACATGGGATTTAAATTGGAATAGGCAGCAGCCACGGCGGCAGCCGGATCTGGAAGATATTCGACAACGGGGGCAGGGGATGTGACCTACAAATATAAAAATCTGAAGAAATGTTCCTTTTTTAAAGGGGTTCGGGAATCTCACCTGTCCCAATGGGGAACCCTGTTGATTTTGTTGTTGCATTTTACGTTTTGAACGACAGGTGGATAGAAAATCTCTCAGCTGGGTCTTGTAGCGACGATTGGGTCGCGTTGGTGTCACTGGAGGTGGCAGGGAATTCGGTGAACCACTTGGTGGCACCACCAGTTGATCTGCCTCCGAAAAGTAGGTGGACGCCAGACCGGTATCCAAATAGCTAACCTTGAAATCCATTGTTCTCTTGCCCAACAAATCGAAACCCTCCTCGTCCATTAGCACACGATGGGTGCAAATGACAAAATCGGGTTTGGAATTTTTATAGACCAGACGGGAACTGTGAGAAGGGAGGGGGAGTCAATTAGAAATCTATACGACATTTTACTTTTTTTTAGTCGAGGAGCTTACCTGGTTTGCAGCCACTGCCATTCACCATCCTTCTTTTGGTAACGGTAGGCAATCATGCCAGAAGCACCAGTTTTGAGAACTGCAATGAATGAGAGAACATTTAATACTACGAATATAAAAATAAAAATATATACGTGATCGAGAGAAGTTTCCGCAAGAGGAAAATGGAGCACGATCAAGAAGGAATACCATAATCAGTTGTGTTTAGGTTGGGCGCCAGTTGGCGAAAATAATTAACTTTCGGATTGATAATAAGTTGTACCATTTTTGTCTAACTTTTAGCTAGAGTTCCCTAGGAAAATACATCTAAAGATGATATTCTTTATGGGAGAATTTGAGAAGGTGACCCCTTCCAAGGAAAGACCTATGGGCGAATTACTCTGGAGACTTTCTGGAGATATCCTCAGACTATTTTCCAAGGAAAACAATTGAGGTTGTCTTGTAGAGACCTTGCTTAGTGTAAAAGTTCGAGGTGTAATCTTTTCGAGACCCCCTTTCAGGGGAAAAAAGTGGTCCTCCGAAAACCGTCTATAGGGAAACATCTCTAGCTTTCTCTAGGAAAAGGCTTCTACAGGTGGTGTTGTAGAAATCTTCTATATAGGTGCATTTGTGAAGCTGTACCCTGCCATGGGCAAGGTCTTTTGGAGAATTTCTGGAGACTTTCTCCAGCAATTCATATATGTGGTCCTCCATAGACTCTATCTAGAGCGAGACTCCTTGAAATGGAGATTTTTTCCAAGAGAAAAGATCTTGAGACCGTCTTATAGAGGCCTTGCTTGGAGTAAAAGTTCGAGTTCTAATCTTCTCAAGATCTCGCTTCAGGGGAAGATCCTTGAGAAAAGTTGTCTTCTGGAAAACCTCAATTGGGGAACATATCAAGAGTTCCCTAGGAAAAGGCTTCTACTTTGGAATTGGTCTTCTGGAGATTTTGTCCAAAAAAGGAACTTGAGGTTGTCTTGTAGAGAGGTGTAGTCTTCTCGAGAGGTGTACACCTCTAGAGTTCCCTGGGATAAGACTTCAGCAGATGGTGTTGTAAAAATCTTCTCTAAGGGAGAGTTTGAGGAGGTAATCCCACCTCTACACCTCTATAGTTCCAGGAAAATACTAGGGTCTACCTACAATTTCTAATTTAGCTCTTTCATAAACTCTATCTAGGGCAAGACGCCTATGGATGGTCTTGTGGAGAATTTATTTACTTGAAAGTTCCAGAGGTGGTTTTCTAGGGACATCCTCTGGAGAAAGTCCTTTGGAATTGGTATTCTGGAGACTTTGTCCATGGGAAAAAGGTCTTGAGTTAGCTTATAGAGACCTTGCTTAGAGCAGAAGTTGACCGTGTAATCTTCTCGCGACCCTCCCTCAAGGGGAAATTCCTGAGATGATTCTATAGGTATTTTAGCCAAGAGGGTTTTCCTTTTTGGGGGTAGAATTCGAGAAGTATTCTTTTGGAGACTTTCTCCATCGGAAAAGTTAAAGAGGCAATATTTTGGAGACATCTCTCCAAGCTCCAACGGCGTTATAATTGGTGTTTTTTTAAATATTTTCCCTCGAAGAGGTGACCTTCTCGAAGAGAAAATTTGGAGAGTGAATCTTTTGGAGACTTTTCTGGGTTTTCCACCAGAATGCTAATTCTATCCATGGACAGCCGTTTGAGAGGTGTCAATTTTTTATATATGGAATATCTTTAGTGCGCCATCTACCTAGGGAAAACTTATATGCATAGAATAGCACCAACAGAAGATCTTTAAAAGAGGACTTCTATCCATAGAAAAATTCTAGAGGGGCCTTGAGAGGGGTTTCTTTATGAAAAAGTCTTCTTGAGGTAGTTTTCTCTCTATAGATGAGTCATCTAATTGCAAAAGATCTCGTCGGAACAATATTTTTCTATAGAAGGCCTCAAGATAGGGTCCTTTAGCTATTGACCGATTCTTGCTTCCGAGGTAATCTTCACCCAACAGAAGGCCTTTTAGGGGACCTTCTATCCGCAATAGACCTCTTGAAAAGCTTTCTCCATATAGAAGACCTCTTAACTGGTTTCCGAGGGAAACTTCTACCAATAGAATACCTTTTGAGGGGCCTTCTATCCAAGTAGACCTCTTGAGAAGCTTTCTCCATATAGTAGACCTCTTATGTGGCTTTTTATATAAATAGATCTAAAGGGGACCTTTTCCGCTGAAATCTTCCTAAGGGAGCCGTAGAATGATAATCTGTCTGCAATATAGTTCTTTATTGAGTCTTTTATGCCTTAACGGGCCTTAGAAAAGATCTTATATCAGTAGGAGAAACCCTATGGGGTTTCTTTTCTGTCGGAGGCCCCTTTAAATTTCTTAAGTCTGCAGGTGATTTTCTGATTGCTTTTTTTCGGAGAATTTCTTCCGACTTTAGAAAAAAATACTTTTACTTACGTTCCTGATGGGCACTAGCCACATAGGCCAGATCATCGTAATGCACCAAATCATAACCACCCATATTGACTAGTTCAGCATCGGAGTAACCCAAAATGTGTTTGCCTCTGTAAAAAATCAGTTTCGATTAGTATTATTTCCATAAATTCCAGGACTCCATATAACTTACCTCTGATCCATCGACACCAATGAGAAATCCAACTTATGTTTCGATTTAAACATATTCTCTTTGTGTGGTATCTCCAGCAGGCTGGGTGGTCCAAATGGTGTGCAGTAGGCAAATAGCGCCAATGGAGGTTCTTCGGTTTTACGATTCTGGCCATGCAGGATTTTGATACGCCCCCGAATATCTAGACGCAAGAAACCCGATGTATTATCCAGTAGGCAACGAAATCGTACCGTAAAACTTCGCTCCAAATAGAGAGCCTTATCCGGCGTTAGGGTCTCAGCCAGTTGCATGCTGGACATATCTGCGGGCAGGAAGGAGTTCCATAACAATTGACGTTGTAGCTCTTCACGATCTTCGGAATGTACCAGTTCGTAGACGGACTGGTGGACAATGTCAGACTGAAATGAAAGGAGAAGGAGGGGAGAAGAGAGAGGAGAATTAAAACGAATTTGCAATTAAAACAAGTGCAAGTGTTATGTGTGGCAGTAGGGGTTAGTGACCTATGCATTGGGAACACCTTTTGGCGTCTGGCCTTATTGTTGTTGTTGTGTTTGTTTTTCTTGATCACCTTTATTGATTTTTTGTATTTGTTTTATTTTTTATTTTTTCTTTTTGGGTTACGTTTATAAATCATTGCTAAACTTAAATTGAAATTTCATTTCATTTGTTTTTTGGGGATCTCCTCTTTTGTTTGGAGTGGCTTGAGGTCTTATTCTCACTGCACTCTACAGGTAGCCACCGAAAAATTGAGATATAAATTTGTAAGAAGGAGGTCTCATGTTGATCGCTGCACAGAGCAGGGGAGGGTAGTTTAAGGAGATTTAAAGAGGAATGCTGACGAATTTTGCGAATAGGCGAAAAAGGCTTTAATGGACTCTATAAATGTTCATTTTCTCAAAATTTATATTTTTTAGAAAAATATGTAAACGTAGATTTTTTAAATAAAAAATATTTTTAAAGTCGAAAAATATGTGGGCTTTTTAAAAATATTTTTGAAGATCGAAATATAAACGTGGATTTTTTAAAAATATTTTTTCAAGTTCCAAATATAAACGTGGATTTTTTAAAAATATTTTTTCAAGTTCCAAATATAAACGTGGATTTTTTAAAAATATTTTTTCAAGTTCCAAATATAAACGTGGATTTTTTAAAAATATTTTTTCAAGTTCCAAATATAAACGTGGATTTTTTAAAAATATTTTTTCAAGTTCCAAATATAAACGTGGATTTTTTAAAAATATTTTTTCAAGTTCCAAATATAAACGTGGATTTTTTAAAAATATTTTTTCAAGTTCCAAATATAAACGTGGATTTTTTAAAAATATTTTTTCAAGTTCCAAATATAAACGTGGATTTTTAAAAATATTTTTTCAAGTACCAAATATAAACGTGGATTTTTTAAAAACATTTTTTCAAGTTCCAAATATAAACGTGGATTTTTTAAAAATATTTTTTCAAGTTCCAAATATAAACGTGAATTTTTTAAAAATATTTTTTCAAGTTCCAAATATAAACGGGGATTTTTTAAAAATATTTTTCAAGTTCCAAATATAAACGGGGATTTTTTAAAAAATATTTTTTCAAATTCCAAACATAAACGTGGATTTATAAAAAATATTTAAAAATATTTTTTCAAGTTCCAAATATAAACGGGGATTTTTTAAAAATATTTTTCAAGTTCCAAATATAAACGGGGATTTTTTAAAAAATATTTTTTCAAATTCCAGACATAAATGTGGATTTATAAAAAATATTTAAAAATATTTTTTCAAGTTCCAAATATAAACGGGGATTTTTTAAAAATATTTTTCAAGTTCCAAATATAAACGGGGATTTTTTAAAAAATATGTTTTCAAATTCCAAACATAAACGTGGATTTATAAAAAATATTTAAAAATATTTTTTCAAGTTCCAAATATAAACGGGGATTTTTTAAAAATATTTTTCAAGTTCCAAATATAAACGGGGATTTTTAAAAAATATTTTTTCAAGTTCCAAATAAAAACGTGGGGTTTTTAAAAATATTTTTTCAAGTTCCAAATATAAACGGGGACTTTTTAAAAATATTTTTCAAGTTCCAAATATAAACGGGGATTTTTTAAAAAATATTTTTTCAGGTTCCAAAAATAAAAGTGGATTTTTTAAAAATATTTTTTCAAGTTCCAAATAAAAATGTGGATTTTTTAAAAATATTTTTTCAAGTTCCAAATATAAACGTGGATATTTTAAAAATATTTTTTGAAGGTCGAAATATAAACGTGGATTTTTTAAAAATATTTTTTCAAGTTCCAAAAATAAACGTGGATTTTTTAAAAATATTTTTTCAAGTTCCAAATAAAAACGTGGATTTTTTAAAATTTTTTTTGAAGGTCGAAATATAAACGTGGATTTTTTTAAAATATTTTTTCAAGTTCCAAATAAAAACGTGGATTTTTTTAAAAAATATTTTTTCAAGTTCCAAATATAAATGTGGATTTTTTAAAAATATTTTTTCAAGTTCCATATATAAACGTGGATTTTTTAAAAATATTTTTTCAAGTTCCAAATATAAACGTGGATTTTTGAAAAATATTTTTTCAAGTTCCAAATATAAACGTGGATTTTTTAAAAATATTTTTTAAAGTTCCAAAAATAAACGTGGATTTTTAAAAAATATTTTTTCAAGTTCCAAATAAAAACGTGGGGTTTTTAAAAATATTTTTTCAAGTTCCAAATATAAACGGGGATTTTTTAAAAATATTTTTCAAGTTCCAAATATAAACGGGGATTTTTTAAAAAATATTTTTTCAGTTTCCAAAAATAAAAGTGGATTTTTTAAAAATATTTTTTCAAGTTCCAAATAAAAATGTGGATTTTTTAAAAATATTTTTTCAAGTTCCAAATATAAACGTGGATATTTTAAAAATATTTTTTGAAGGTCGAAATATAAACGTGGATTTTTTAAAAATATTTTTTCAAGTTCCAAAAATAAACGTGGATTTTTTAAAAATATTTTTTCAAGTTCCAAATAAAAACGTGGATTTTTTAAAATTTTTTTTGAAGGTCGAAATATAAACGTGGATTTTTTTAAAATATTTTTTCAAGTTCCAAATAAAAACGTGGATTTTTTTAAAAAATATTTTTTCAAGTTCCAAATATAAATGTGGATTTTTTAAAAATATTTTTTCAAGTTCCATATATAAACGTGGATTTTTTAAAAATATTTTTTCAAGTTCCAAATATAAACGTGGATTTTTGAAAAATATTTTTTCAAGTTCCAAATATAAACGTGGATTTTTTAAAAATATTTTTTAAAGTTCCAAAAATAAACGTGGATTTTTTAAAAATATTTTTTGAAGTTCCAAAAATAAACGTGGATTTTTTAAAAATATTTATTCAAGTTCCAAATATAAACGTGGATTTTTTAAAAATATTTTTTCAAGTTCCAAATATAAACGTGGATTTATTAAAAGTATTTTTTCAAGTTCCAAATATAAACGTGGATTTTTTAAAAATATTTAAAAATATTTTTTCAAGTTCCAAATATAAACGTGGATTTTTTAAAAATATTTAAAAATATTTTTTCAAGTTCCAAATATAAACGTGGATTTTTTAAAAATATTTAAAAATATTTTTTCAAGTTCCAAATATAAACGTGGATTTTTTTAAAATATTTAAAAATATTTTTTCAAGTTCCAAATATAAACGTGGATTTTTTAAAAATATTTAAAAATATTTTTTCAAGTTCCAAATATAAACGTGGATTTTTTAAAAATATTTAAAAATATTTTTTCAAGTTCCAAATATAAACGTGGATTTTTTAAAAATATTTAAAAATATTTTTTCAAGTTCCAAATATAAACGTGGATTTTTTAAAAATATTTAAAAATATTTTTTCAAGTTCCAAATATAAACGTGGATTTTTTAAAAATATTTAAAAATATTTTTTCAAGTTCCAAATATAAACGTGGATTTTTTAAAAATATTTAAAAATATTTTTTCAAGTTCCAAATATAAACGTGGATTTTTTAAAAATATTTAAAAATATTTTTTCAAGTTCCAAATATAAACGTGGATTTTTTAAAAATATTTAAAAATATTTTTTCAAGTTCCAAATATAAACGTGGATTTTTTAAAAATATTTAAAAATATTTTTTCAAGTTCCAAATATAAACGTGGATTTTTTAAAAATATTTAAAAATATTTTTCCATGGTCTATCGACTAACGTGTACACGTTGTAGGGTACTCCTAATAATTTCTTCATTAACCCAAGAGAACATTTACACATCTTCACCCCAGCCTTGCCAATCCTCTGACCCTCCTCTCGTCTCCTCCTTTTAGTACATTCCTCCAAATGCAATTAGTTGTACTTTATTCAAACCACATCCAAAGGCAACATTACCCTTCCCAGCTATCATCTATGACTCCTAACCAAAGAAATTGCTTGGTTGGTTAATCGGCAATGCCTTGTTTTCGGTTGGTGTTAAAGTTTTTCTTCTATTTTTCTTTGTTGTTTTTGCATTGCTCTGCTCTAAAAAGCAACAAGAACAACAACAGCAGCAACAATAAATACTTGAACACAACATTTTTAATTGAGATACCAAAGTGGGCGTAACTATTTTTGCCGTTTTACACATTTACAACTACAAGAAAGGCAGCAGCAACAAAAACAACAACTGCAACAACATCTTTTAAAGTTTGAAAAAGTTTTCGAAGAAGAAGATACGAATTGAATGGTATTGTGAAACAAACCGAACAGACGAAGTAGTAGAGGAGGAAGCAAAAGTAGTGGTGGGTATGTCTGTTTGTCAGTTTGCGAATGCTATGTCTCTATCTGCGGATCTTTTGTGGATAAAGAGAGAGGGGGCAGAAACGAGTGCAGCGATGGGGGACTAAAGCAGATGCAGAGCTCATATGTGCCGTCCACTAAATCTACAACACGTTCCAATACAAAATATCTGCAGTGGAGTATTCTTGTTATTGTTGTTGTTGCAATTGAAACAATAAAAATCTTGGCGAAGATGTACTCCAAATTCGGGGGATCAAATAGGGGAGTTTGGAAGAGATTCTAAACCAACATGTGCTGCAGATGATTTTGGAACGCCACTGCTGCCGCTGTGGTAGAATGTGACTGGAAGCCAGAACTGCTGCCATTGTGGCTGCACTTTTTCCTCTTCGTTATGTTTGTTCTGTCCTGATATTGGTGTAGGACACCATCCAAACCTTCGAGAATTGTTGGATTATTTGTGATAATGTTAAGAATGATGATGATGACCACGACGATGATATGTATGCATGTAATATTAGTTAACGTTAAACAAACAACACCGACACGGGTAATATAGGTCCAACTCTCATCGGTGATGAGAAGTAAGTGACCCAATGGGAAATTTTAGGGGAGATATTAGAAAAACAATA